GAGCGACGGATGAAAGACATACACTGACACAGGCTTGCCAGAGTCAGCAGCAGCCACAATAAGCTGGTGATGCTTGCATTTATTTAGTACAGATTAAATAACAAAGGTCTCGAGTAAACACCATTAACATTGTTGACCCCCTGAGTAGAGAGCAGTTTTGCTCCCCCGCCCCAATGTTCAAAGATTGGTCTTAGTAAACAAACTATTTAGATAAACTCCTCTACATTTCCTTGTTATTTGGTTTTTGCTATTAGCTCAAGGTAAGAGGATTAGGCTGCCTTCAGCCATAACCTCTTCTCAAGGCTTTTGCAAAAACCTCCTGGCCTTCCAAGAAGGTTTGCATCTATTTATAATTTCTCCCACCATTCTGACCAATCTCCTACAGAATTTCAGATTTTTTTTCTTTGTCATTGGCTTTTAGCAATTTGGTTATGGTTTACCTTGGTATGATTTACTTTGTACTTATCTTATCTTGCTTGGGGTTTGTCGAACTTCTTAGGTCTGTGGATTTATAGTTTTTATCAAATATGAGAACTTTTTCTGCCATTATTCCATCTGCCTCTTCCCTTTAGGACTCCAATTACACATCTGTTATACCTTTTGTTATTGTCCAATAAGTTACAGAGGTTCTGAACATGGTTTTCGGTCTTTTCTCCCCACTCTGCATTTTAGTTGGGATAGAGTCTATTGCTCTGTTTTCAAGTTCACTGATCTTTCTGAAGTGACCAATGCATTATTAGGCCCATCAGTGAATTTTTCATTTTATGTATTCTATTTGTCAGCTCTGGAATTTCCATTTCATTCTTTTCGATATGCATAATTTCCTTCCTTATTATGTTCATGTTACTATTTAAATACTTGGGCATATTTATAATAATGTTTTAAAGTTATTTTCTGCTACTTCCATTATTTCTTTAATATCTACATCTGTTTCTGTATATTGATTGTTCTGCTTATGGGTCACACTTTCTTGCTTCTTCTCATAACTAGTAATTTTTTGGATGCTGGGCATTGTAAACATTGTGCTTTTACACGGCTGTAAATTGTTGTCTTCTAACATAAATAACTTTATACCCTCAAACAGAAAACGGACATTAGGGAAAAAAACTGGTGAAATCCAGAGTCTGTAGCTTAGTTAATAATATTGTACAGTGTTAATTTCTTAGTTTGACAAATATACCACAGTCTTGTTTACAATAAAGTAAGCTAGCTGCAGTTCATACAGGAATTCTCGGAATTTTTTGAAACTTTTCTGTAAATCTGAAATTATTCCTAAATCAAAAGGTTATTTTGTTCAATTTCTCATTTTTTCCTTCTATTTACCTTAAGGTATTATTTGTCTTATCTTCCCTTTGCATTGTCTTCTAATTTAGTCTTCATTTCTAAAACAATTGTTTTCTGTGGTTTCAAATTCTTTTGTTATATCATCTCATTTCCAAGTTTTCTGATTCTAATTTACATCACTCTTAAATCTCTTGTTTGAAATCGAATGTTGTATTTTGATTTTGTTTTTTACTGTCTCTCTGACATACACGTTTTTGTTGTCTGTAGGTATAATACTGCTTACTCCTTTTCCTCATAGAATTTTTTTCTTTCTTTTTTTTAATTGAGATAGAGTCTCACTCTGTTACCCATGCTGGAGTGCAGTCGTGCAATCTTGACTCACTGTAACCTCTGCCTCCCGGGTTCAAGCGATTTTGCCTCAGACTCCCAAGTAGCTGGAACTATAGGCACACTCGTGGGATTTTATCATAAGAAAATAATACAGCAACAACAAAAAGCCAAGTGCATAAAGGTATTTATGACAGCATCATCTGAGGCAACAGAAAAATGGAAACAGCTCACGTGTCTATCAATAAGGAACAGGCTGAGTAAATTTTGGTATGGAATACCCTGTAACTATAAAAATGATTAATGTGAAGATTATATACCAAATGCTTGCTCCTCAAAACTGAAGGCACACTCCTCGGCTAATTGTGTGTGTGTGTGTGTGTGTGTGTGTGTGTGTGTGTGTGTGTGTGTTTTCCTGTAGAGACAGGGTTGCCCAGGCTGATCTCAAACTCCTGGGCTCAGGCAATCTGCCCACATTGGCCTCCCAAAGTGCTGGGATTACAGGTGTGAGTCACTACACCCAGACTTGAGTTTCATTTTTAAAATTTTGTCCAGCTAGCTTTCAAAATTCCACAGAGCTCCCTCTTCTGTTGTTTTCATGTAATGTCAAAAAATAGCAGTCTGCATTCTAAAATTTAAAAGTTTATTTTAAAAAGTTTTCTTTTGAGATTTCCTAGTTTTTTTCTTCTTCTCCACTTTTATCTAAATCTTCTTTGTTTAGTTACTTCTGTACTTATCTTATTCAATTTTGATTCCCCTCCTAGAAGCTTCCTTAGTTGGGGGCCTGTCTTTAAATGGCATACCATTGGTGACTCAGTTTCAAGAGGTCATGTTTGAACAGTGCCCCACTCTCTTCAGGCCTTACCTTAGCCCTTTGTTCTCATTCATTATTAAAGTGGACAAACTCCTTCTGGTGTTAGCTGCTGCTCTCAACTTGACCCTCCATGCTTTTCACCAGGTCTGATGTTTTCTTATAATTCTCAGGTCCATTGGATGTCCTGTTGCTTCCCACTGCTTTCTCCCTCTCAGATGCCAATACTACGTTTGTGGTTGTTGGCGACTGCATTTTGTCACCTAGCTTTATTATAAAAGTTGTCCCCAGGTCTTTGGTTTTGTTAGCTAATTGCTCTGTTTTTTAATGTGGTGATTCTAGAAGATTCATAAACCATGCTCCTCTGCTCCTGCCATCTTCCCAGAATCCCAATACTATCTATCATTTTTCAGACTGGAGCAGGGTAGACACGTAAGCTGTTTCCATTTTTCTGCTGCCTCAGATGATGCTGTCATAAATACCTTTGTACACTTGGCTTTTTGTTGCTGCTGAATTATTTTCTTATGATAAAATCCCAAGAGTAGGATTACTGGGTCAAGAGTAGGAACATCTCTCTGGATCTGGCAATCTATAATCTGAAAATGTGTTTTCAGAATTCTTTTTCTTTTTATAGGGGAAAGGTTGAGGCTCAGTTGTTGGTGGTAAGGATCACATGAGGGAAACAGGCCTGTTTCCCTGACCTGTTAGCTCCGGATCACTGCTAGTCTACCCTTTCTCCAGCCATCAGTCTTTCCTATTTATTTTATTCAATTTTCATCATTCATTTAACCAATCTTTATTAGGAGCTTACTATGTATCAGGCACTATGATTTCTCTCTGCCACACTGTAGTGAATTCCAGAAGTGAATCTAATACACAGAATGTAAAGAGACCCAATCCAGATGTGTCCTAGACTATCCTCTCTGAGGACAATGAAAGGTACTGAAGCTTGTCCTCGCCTGGGTTCCTGCAATCTTCCAACATGTCTGAGATTGTTCATGGAACCCTAGAATCTCTCACCTAGACAGATCTGGTATTAGCAATCTATCCCATTCCATAGGCAGGCTTGGTCCCATAGTATGGCAGGCCTGAGCAGGAAAGGGACAGCCTAAGCAACCTCAACTGCACCAGCTGATCCAGTTGCCCCAATATTATCTTGATATTCCTGTCCACAAAACTGGTAAGCTAGAAGTAACCCCCAGGGTCTCCTAACCACAACCTGACAGCTATATTGATTCAGTCTATATACCTGACTTTCAGCCTCCGTTTCCCTCAGTCTGTCTTTTCAGTGCCTCCTCCCCCTCCCCTTTCCCACCGAAAACTGAGATTTGTCCCGAACCCAGGTCATCTTAGGTTGGGTTCTGGTTGTGGTTCTGAGTTCCTGCCATCCCTGGCTAGAATCCCTTTACATCGGGGCTGACCCTGCTCCACTGGTTGAGTCTGTGTGTTTGAAGTGGACAAACTCCTTCCAGTTTTAGCTGCTGCTCTCAAGCAGCAGACCAGTTGACTCATGGGACTAGTCCATGACCAGTTGACTTGTGGGACTGACTAGTCCATGGTACTGAGAGGCATATATAACTTGTATCCAAGCCTGCTAAGCTATTAGTAATAATCACAGTGTTCTAAAGGTGAGGACCCCAAGGGCTACAGAGTAAATGTACACAAATAGCAAGTTTGTATCATATTAGGACTAGAGCTCAAGATTTTTGCAATCTAGTTCCCTCCATAGGCAGACTTAGCCCTATTGTAAGGTAAACGGCTTTCGTCCTAGTGTATGCCTAGAAATTTAGGAAAGTATTCTAAAGTAGAAGCCCAATTGGAGGCCTGAGACCCACAGGGTGGGGGAGGAAAGAAGACCCCAGGATTTGAGAATAAAATAAATTCTACTTTTTAAAACAGGAACATGAATCAGGAAAGTCTTGAGCAGCAGAACTGATTTTATGGGGAGCCCTAGACCATCAGGCTGGATGTAGTCATCTTAAGATATGTCTTACCTCTTAAGAATGTACCAGGAACCTGAATCAGGGCTGGGCTGATAGGTGAGAAGAGACAAGGTAGAAAATTGACGAAGGATATGGGGGTGAGGAACCAGGCTGGACCTGACACAGAGATGCTCAAGTAGCCCATGTTAGTTGAAACCTCCCTGCTTCATGAGTCTTGGATAACAATTGGCTTAAAATACACAACCTCATGGCCTGTGGAAGTCTACAGCTTTCTCCAAAATTTCTGTAAATACCTAGGACACATACATTATCCTGTCCTGGTCTCTCAGGGATAATATTCTTTGAGTAGTCTTTGCTCTGTACTGCATCAATCAAAGCACAAATTTAGCTCTTTCAAAGAAAAAGATCTGAATATACCGTATATGAATTTAATAGACTGTGCCTAAAATGTTGGGAGGGGTGTCACAGAAAGGGAGTCTCCTCATTCACTGTACCCTGGACAACCTAAAAGTCCTCATTGCTCATTGCACATTCTTGCGCTCAGCAGTCCTTGTCAGCCACCCACTTAAGACGGTTTTCTCTATGGGCTTCAACACTACACCCACCCTCACCTCACTGCACCCACCCTCGCACACTCCTCTGGTTCTTCCGTCTTCCTTCTCTCTTCTCTCTCCTTTACTCTTTCTTCTACATCCAATCTCTCCAAAGACAGACATAAATTCCTTTCCTTATCTCATGCAGAGTCTCTGGGGAGAGAGAAGGAATTATACCTCTGTTGCTTCATTATTAAACTCTTTTTTTCAAGCAAAAACACTTTCTTCCCATCAAGAATTCTAGTGCTAGATGTTAATTAAAGTAATCAAAAAAATTACTTAATACACATGTGTAAACAAAAAGTATGCAGCGTTATTGTGTTGGGTAGTTCATGCCAGACCAAGCACTATGATAGTCCTATTCAAATGGACTAATAAGAATGTTTAGAACATCCTGTCTCATTTAGGAGTATGCCCTTGATCATAAAAGCTCAGCTGAATCCCAGAACTGAACCTGGGAAAACTTGATTTGTCTGTGCCCTTTGAAAGTATTTTTACAAACTGCTCCTGTAGCAGCAGTTTGTAAAATACTTTCAAGGGCACAAGATGGGGTGCTGCTTTTATTAGATAAGACAAAAAGTAAGTGGTACCTATGGTAACCAGAAAGTTTCAAGGTTTTTCAGACCTGTGTGGACTCTTAAGGTATTTTCAGCTTGCAAACTTTGAGCTGAACTGTGATACCAATCCAGTTGCAAAAATTGGCATGGGCAAAAATGCAATGGTCATTTCATGTGGTCAAATCAGGTGACCAGCTAAACAATGAAACTTCAAAGTATGTGGCTTGTTCCAGTTGCTACCTAATGGTGTAAAACAACAACCAGTTTATTATTCTCAAGGATTATATGGGTCAGGAATTTGGGAAGGACATGACAAGGACAGCTTGTATTTGCTCCACAACATCTAGAGTCTTAGCCGGAAAGTCTCAAGGCTGAGGGTTACTGAATAGCTGGGAGCTGGAATTATGTGACTCTTTCACTCATGTGTCTTGGTGTTTGATGTCAGTAAGTCTATTTATGACCTCCTCATCTGGGCTTTCTCAGAATGTGCTGGTTAAGTTCTGTGGTAAGAAGCCTCTAAAATGGTCTCCAATGATTTCCACCTGCTGGTATTCGCAGCCTTGTGTAATCTCACCCCCTTGATTAAATTGCTTCTAACCCATAGAATATGGCAACACTGAAGAAATATTTCTGCTATGACTAGGTCACAAAATAATCAATCTCTCTCTCTCTCTCTCTCTCTCTCTCTCTCTCTCTCTCTCTCTCCCCCCCCTCCCCCCCCTCCATTCCTTCCTCTCTCTCTCTCACTTTGATGAAGGAAACTGCCACATTGAAGAAGCTCACATGGTAAGGAATTGAGTGTCACCCTGGCCAATAGCTATACAAAACTAATGGTCTTCAGTCTAACATCCCCCAAAGAAGTGAATCCCACCAAAAAACACATAAGTGACTTTCACAGTAGATTCTTCCCCATTCAAGCCTTCAGATGAGACCCCAGCCCTGACCAAAACTGTGATTATTATAGGCTTGTGAAACGTCCTGAAGCAGAAGACACAGTTAAACCATGATTAAATTACTAACTCAGAAACACTGTGGGATGGATAATAAATGTGTATTGTCTTAAACTGCTAAGTTTTGGGATGATTTGTTACATAGCAATAGATATCTACTACAGGTTCCAAGAGCAAGTATCTCACAAGAACCAGGCAGAAACCATAGCTTTTATGACCTGGGCTCAGAAATTACATAGCATCACTTCCCCCAAATTCACAGACCTGCACAGATTCAAGCAGATGGAATACAGACCCATCTCTCACAAGGAGGAGTGTACAAGTGTCAACATGTTATCATAATAAGAACATGTGAGAGGAGAGATGCTGCTGTGGCCATCTTCGGAAAACACAGTCTGGCCTGTGGCTCTTTGGCCTTGACCCATAGCATGGCCTGATCTGCTCATGTGAAAATTTCAAGAAATATTTATGTTGTTTTGCTATTTTGAAATTGAGGTTTTGTTTGTCTTCCTCCTGACATGTCTCCTCATGCTTTTAAGAAATTCTCAAGCAATTTATCAGCATGTCACAAGATTAATGGGAGTTTCCCCTCCTGCAACCAGGGAGCCCTCAGAACCATAATTTCCAAGAATATGAATGACTATCTGAAGAATAAGATCCTCTCCACTTAAGAGTGACTCCTAATAAGTTACAACACTGCTCTGGCTACATGTTCTGAACATTCCTGTATTGCCCCACACTCCATACCAGTTGAGGAGAAAGAAGACAGTGAACGAGGAGACTGTGGTTGGGGAACCTAATGGACACGCAGGCTGGGCAGACTCCACTGGTATTTCCAGCACACCATAAACTCACAGAACTTCTGAACACAAAGGAATCTCAAAGATCGATTGATTCAATTTATACTGGAAATGATAGTAGCTACATTTAGTGAGACCTGACTATAGCAGTATGCCCTTTACAGCTGAATGAAGTAGACATTAGTGTCTAATGCAACTCAAATATGTCAGACTTCACCAGTTTGTAAACCCATGCTTCTATTTAATGCACCATCATTGTAGCTTGAGCCTCATCCTACTTGATTTCATGAAATCCAGGATTTTATTCAGTTCTACTATGGAGCTCTTACATGGTCCACCCATTTCCTCTGTACTTTCCATCTCTGTCAGCTGCCTGGCCCCACATGGGGGACTCCTGTGTCTGAACACCTGCTTCCTTCGGGGTACAACTTTCCTAAGCCCCCTGCTGTGCCCCAGCATGGGCTGTAGAGACCCCTCCACCATTTTGCTATTGTGATAACGCAGACTAGACTGAAACTTCTAACAAGGCATTACCAAAGGCTTGGAGAGAAAAACACAATTACAACAGAGAGAAACTTGAAACTCAGTACCTTTGCACAGATTCCCCAGTCTCTGGGTTTGACTTCTAGATTGCTCTCTGCTGCTGCCATGGAGGAAGAGCCAGCCTGCCTCCCCACAGTGGGAATAAACTCCATTCTACAAATCCCTGAGGTTCAGATAAAGGAGGCAGTTATTTCCCCCACACTTTAACCTAAGTCCCATGTCCTTAGTCTTTATTTCCTGCCTTAGGATTGATTGTGTTCCAGGAGGCCTGAGAATTAACATGTCTATTTCATGGAAAACTCCATCTTCTAAACAATAACAGAACAAGCATTCTAACCATAGAACACCGTGTGTGATAATAACAGCCCAGTCAATGCTGAATCTTATAAAGCCCAGTTAAGTTCTTTTCCTCATTCTCTCCTCTAGCATGAGTCGTGATCACGGTTTTACAGTCATCTAGCCATCTTCAGTGTCTCAGCTCTTGAGTTTCTATGATTGTTTAGTTGAAAAACGGCTTATTCGGCCTAGCATGGTGGCTCACACCTATAATCCCAGCACTTTGGGAGGCCAAGGGAGGGCCAATTGCTTGAGCTCAGGAGTTCAAGACCAGGCTGGGCAACATGGCAAAACCTCATCTCTACAAAAAATACAAAAATTAGCTGGGCACAATGCCCTGTAGTCCCAGCTACTTGGGAAGCTGAGGTGAGAGGATCGCTTGAGCCTAGGAGGCTGAGGCTGCAGTGAGCAGAGATCATGCCACTGCACTCCAGCCTGGGCAACACAGCAAGACTCTAAGAAAAGAAAAAGAAAAATTGCTTATCTATTACAAAGTTTTCCAGAGCAAGCAATAATAAAGTGACAAATGGTAGTGTAAATACATAGAAGATTTTAGGCTGGGCATGGTGGCTCTCACCTATAATCCTAGCACTTTGGAAGGCTGAGGTAGGAGGATCAATTGAGCCCAGGAGTTCGAGACCACCCTGGGCAACATAGTGAGACTCCATCTCTACAAAAAATAAAAATACGGAAATTAGCCAGGCATGGTGGCACATAACTATACTTCTAGCTACTCAGGAGACTAAGGTGGGAGGATTGTGGGAGGGGAGGGGAGGGGAGAGGAGATGAGAGGATATTAATTCGGCCTAATATGCTGACATTTTACACAATTTTGCCAAACATTTTAGTTCTTAGAGTCATAGTAGCAGACCATGAGGTAAGATTGTTTTCTCTGTATTTGCATAAGGCCTCTAAGCAGCATTTTCTGAGACATTTCCTCTTTTTAGAGACGCAAAAATGTGTACAGATTATAAATGACAGCTCTTTTTCAGCCTCTATTTCTCAAGTGATCCAAAAATATTTGTGTTTAATCTCAGCCAAGTTCACCTTTTTATATCCACTTATGGACAGAGGAAGCTGAGGTTGTATGAAATCAAATTTGCCCAAATTATATAATTAGAAAACGGGGCTGAGGATGGTGGCTCACACCTATAATCCCAGCACTTTGGGAGGCCAAAGAGGGAGAATCACTTGAACCCAGGAGTTTGAGATCAGCTTGGGTACCACAGGGAGACCTCATCTCTATAAAATATCATAATAATAATTTTTTTAAATTAAGCAATAGAAAATGGGAAGGCTGAAATTCAGAACACCAGCTGCTCTAGACGCTCTGGCCCTTGCAACTATACCAGACCACACTTGATCTAAAAGGAAATGTTACGTATCACAAAAACATGCTTTGTGAAGACCAGCCAAGCATACAACAAATCAGTCCCATTCAGTTTGGGATTACGAGCAAGACAAACAATAGAGCAGGCTTCAAAATAAACTTCCGTTTCCAGGATGAGAAGGAAACATAGGGACATAAGCTCTTAGGAGACACCTGCAGCGAGCAGGGACCCGTGCCAGAGAAAGGGTATAAAGTGGAGCCTGAAAGGAGGGAACTCCGAGGAGGACACCACGTTCATTCTTCCATCCCACAAACTTTCACCAAGTGCGTCCTTTGTGCCCGGCTTTGTGCTTGGCTTTGTGCTACCAGGCAGGCACATGCTGATGAATCAGTGAGAGGCGCTGGCCCCCTTGGGCCTCACAGTCTGGTAGAAGGGACAAACAAGTAAACATAGAACTTGCATTCCTCTGATTCAAGTGAAAAGGACATCCTGATTAAAATATCTATGGAAGCTCTGAGAATATTTGTGCCCAATCACAGAAAGGGCAGGGACTGATTGCCATTTCCTTTGTTTAACCAACACTCTTACACCTGGGGTAGAATCCCTGGGACCAGCCATCCCTTCAGATCTCTGGAGCAGCTCACCTTCCTCGTAATCATTTTATCCTGGGATGTTTCAGCCTTTGAGGTACAATGTGTGACTAAGGCCACTGTCAACAGGCAATGACACAAAGCATCTGTCTCTGGCAAAGACCAGCTGAGCAAATGCTTAACTCGGAAGGCTGTTACAGTTTCTGTGAAAACAAATTACATCAGTGCTTAACCCAGGAGTCTCCCAACCAGGCTAAGGAGTGTTTTCTTTTGTGAGTGTGTGCTCCTACCTCATGCAGCATGAAGGAACTCTGCATA